CTACCTCTTCCTGCCTATATATGTATATCCGTCCTGGTCTACTTCTCGTTAGTGTGACTTTGTAAAAGGTCCAAGTCAGACCGAAATGTCGTCATAAGCTCCTCTCTTCTATGTGCGGGTTATTTGTGTATCTAACACTAAGTATGGATAGCTGAACTGGTCACACATGTAACATGTCTCAAATATGTATCCCAGCCCCCAAGGGTGTTTGTTACAGCCTCTCTTCCTATGTGTGGTGTTTATTATAGTCCTTCCCTGCAGGTGCCTATCATGCACAACAATATAATCAAAACTAGTCCATTAATCACAGTTGACTCACCACCAAATGGCCGGGTGGAGACACATTACCCATCTGGGAGGTCAGAGATGTGAGCTTCACCATTTCACATATATATAGTTTTTGGGGGAAGCCTGACTACGAGGTTTCTGTCTCATGGTTAGTGGATGAAGGATCAAGGCTCAAAAACGTCTTGCACTGAATGACCCATATGGGTTTAGTGCTTCAGAGTAATATAATAATAGTCACAGACCAAACAATAACTATTTTATTTCAAGTCACAGAGTATAAGCTACAACAAATTTTGATGGAAAGGTAAAGCTACCTGCTATTAGACCCCCCAAAAATTGATTGCCGAGTTCTTAAGCACTGAGGCTGCTCAAGCCTTACCACCACAATAAGATGACCCAGCAACATGTAAACTAGTCGGACCGAAATGTCGTCGTAAGCTTCTCTCTTTTATGTGCGGGTTATTTGTGTACCCCACTACCACAGTAAGGTGATCCAGCATCAGTGGGAAAGAACAATCTTATCAATCAATCATTTTCACATGATACATCGTTTGTATAAAAGTGGATGATATTACATAACTCACATGGAAGGCAGAGCATTCTGGGCAATAAAGGGATAGAACAGAAGGAAGTGAGAGGAGCATAATAGGAGAGAGACAAAACGGGGAGTACCATAATGTAACGATGTTTGAATGTTGAATGTGCACACAAACACAAAAATGAACCTGAGTACACCATAAAAGATACTTGTTAAAAGTTAACAGGAAAGGGACAGACTGAAATGTAAGGACCAAGTACAGGAAGACAGGGATGAAAGCTAAAAACGGGGATGTTAGGAAGTATTTTCTAAAGTCTCAGGGTGGTAGGAAACTGGAATGAACTGTACATAAAAATTAAGACAAACACTATACACAACTCAAGAGTTAAAAAAAAAAAAAAAAAAAAAAAAGTCAGATAAAGAAGCTTAAGGGTTGTGACTATGTGCCCAAACTCAACCTCCACAAATACAAATCAGTGAGTACACACAGCAGTTGACAACAGGAATGGGATCAATGGGGAGTTAACATGTGTTCTACTTCACTCACAAGTCAGTCTCACTAACAGTGTGGTATGCAAATCACCTGAAAAAAGTAAATATAAAAGAGAGCTGATTGAGCACTCTGAGAGAAATAATAGACTAAGTGATAAACAATGTAGTCTGAGGTCACTGTGATCTTGTATATCCAACTTGCTGTGTTGTTATGATAGTCAGAAAATACAGTGAAATGAATGGGATGTGAAGAGAACACACAAAACCAGCATTATTATACACTTGATAAAGCATAAGACTGACTATTAACCCTTTGAGGGTTTCGGCCGTACTAGTACGTCTTACGCGTAGGGGTTTTTGACGTACTAGTACACACAAATTCTAGCGCCGTCAAATCTCGCGGGAAAAGGCTGGTAGGCCTACATGTGAGAGAATGGGTCTAAGTGGTCGGTGTGCGCGGTAGAAAAAAAATCTGGGACCCAGTGGTGCATTGTGGGAACACCCTCGAAGTAAACAATGTCCACCATGCCTCGCGGTAAGAAGCTCCTCACTCCTCGGCGAATTGGGACACTTTTGTTCCCCAGTGACAGTTCTAATACAGATGGAAGTGCCAGTGAAGATGAGTTTCATGGTTTTGGTGAGGTTTTGACCGAAACTAATGACCATAATATCGGTAATAGTGAGGAAAACCCAGACGACCCTCAGCCTTCCACCTCTGGTGCTGGGCCGTCTTGTTCACGTTCAGTTGTACCAGAACCCAAGAGGAAACTTCTATTTTCCCAAATCCCAGACTCAGATGAGAGCATGGGTGATGATAGTGATAGTGAATATGAACTACAAGCTCTTCAAACTAGTTCCAGTAGTGATAGTGAAGTGCAATATTCCCCAGTGAAGCGTCAGTATATACGACGATATATGCGCTCTGGTAGTGTGCCATATGTTATTCCAAGGGGAAGGAGTGTATCTCGGAGTACATCCCGTGGCTGTACAACAGGAACAGACAGTGAAAATGACGATGATACTATTGCAATTGGGATGGAACATGTGCGTGGTGGTAGTGGTGCCGGCGGTGAGGCACCAGCAGTGGGACATGCTGCCACCCACGCTGCCACCCACGCCGCTGCGTCAGCTGATATACAACAGAGGCCACCATCCCCCACTCACCCACCACACCAGCCTCCACAAAACCACAACCTCCACAACCACAACCACCTGTCATTGTCCAGTACCCACCAGCAGACCGCACCTGGGATTGGCAGGAAGCTGTCAATTTTGTTCCAAATGCCCACCAGTTTGATGACAGCCAAAGTGGAATACGGCCATCTTGTACACTTGGGAACAATGCCACTGAACTGGAATGTTTCGAGTTATTCTTTGACGAACCACTGATGGAAAGTACTGTCATGGAAAGCAACACATACTACGAGTACACCATGGCAAACACATTACTTTCACCAAAATCACGTCTACACCAGTGGAAGGAGGCAACTGTGGCTGAGATGTATCTTTTCTTTGCCACAATAATGCTTATGCCACATGTGTATAAGCACAAAGTGAAATCATACTGGTCAACAGACTGCCTGATTGCAACCCCAGGTTTCAGTGATATAATGCCAGTGAATCGATTTGTGCTAATGTTACGTATGCTTCATTTCTCAGATAAAACCAGGCCTGACAGAACTGACAGGTTATATAAGATTAGGAATGTGTTTGTGTATCTGAAAGAGAAATTCAGTACGCATTTTTATCCCTTCAGGAAGCTTGTAATTGACGAGTCTTTGATTCTGGTCAAAGGAAGACTCTCTTTCAAGCAGTACATACCAAGCAAGAGGAAACGCTTTGGTATAAAGTTGTTTGTGCTTTGTGATTGTTACAGTGGTCTGGTATTGGATATTATTGTGTACACTGGAAGTTATACATTGCAAAATACCAGGAAGTTATTGGGCATCTCAGGTGATGTGGTTCGAACAATGATAGAACCATACCTTGGTAAGGGGCATATATTATATACAGATAACTGGTACACAAACCCCTCACTCAGTGATTTTTTGCGAGTGAACATGACAGATGTGTGTGGCACAGTGCGTGCAAATCAGAAACATATGCCCAGGTTTGACGCTGGCACTCGTAGAGGTGAGGTGCGGGCTTTTGCTGCCAATGACATCATGGCATTTCGGTGGCATGACAAACGAGATGTCACACTGTTGTCATCAGTTCACCCTAATGAAATGGCAGACAGTGGCAGGCAGCATAGAGAGAGCAATGAACCCATTCTAAAACCTGCAGCTGTGATTGATTACACCTTCAACATGCGTTCAGTGGACAAATGTGACATGCAGATTGGGTTTGCTGATTGTGTTCGCAAGAGTTATAAGTGGTACATCAAACTGTTTTTCCATCTTCTGGACATTTCCATGCTCAATGCTTATAATATGTATAAGATGAGGACCAGAAACAAACCACAGTACGGCGAATTCTGTTTGTCTGTCATCAGACAAATAGTATTCAAGTACCAAGGAACAGCACCTGCAATTGACCGCCCACCAAATTATCAACAACTACCTGCTTGTCTGAAGCATGGTGATCACTTCCTGGTAAAACTGCCTGCTACTGCTTTCAAGAAAAAGGCTCAGAGGTGGTGTTATGTCTGTGCACATACAAAAAAATGCCCACAACAACGCAGAGACACTCGTTTTATGTGTGAGGAATGTAAAACACCACTGTGCATGACACCATGTTTCAAAGAGTTCCACAGGCTGCAGAACTTCTAGAAACATTCCCTGTGACTGTATATGTGTATATAAAATATAGAAAAATAGTAATAAACAACATTTCATATCGTTTGTTTGTGTAAATATTTTCTGTAAACAAAATAATGACAACAGTGTTTACGCCCTTATTGTGTAGTATTGAAAAAGAAATAACTTACAAAGTACTGATCATGTTGGCCTCAGAGGCCATAAAAGTTACTCAGAAAAAGAAAAATTGAAAATAGTACATAAAAAAGTAAATAGAAAAATACCGGGTGACGGCAGTCGGCGATGTTACCATATGTTGTTCAATTTTGGCAAATTTCACGCCTCCATATCTCGGTAAGTATTGACGTTAAAATTTTTTTGTTTAGCCTATAATGTTTAGAAAAAAAAAAAAAAACTATTTTTTCATAAGAAAAAATAATTTTTTTTTTTTTTAAATTTGGCCGACCCTGAGAACGAGTTTCGGAGAGGGCCTGTCGACCCTCAAAGGGTTAATTGCATTACAAGAACCAGAAGGTTGAGTGTACTGCTTTACAAAAACCAGAAAGCTGAGTGCACTGTTTTACAAGAACCAGAAGGGTGACTGCACTGCTTTACAAGAACCAGAAGGTTGAGTGCACTGCTTTACAAAAACCAAAAGGCTGAGTGCACTGCTTTACAAGAACCAGAAGGCTGAGTGTACTGCTTTGCAAAAACCAGAAAGCTCAGTGCACTGCTTTACAGAACCAGAAGGTTGAGTGCACTGCTGTGTAAGACCCAAAAGGTTGAGTGCACTGCTGTGCAAGACCCAAAAGGTTGAGTGCACTGTTGTGCGAGACCCAAAAGGTTGAGTGCATGCATGTATGCACTCACATGCATACACACATTTACACACAAGCATAGTGCAATACTTGCCCTGATACTCTCTGCACAAGTGTTATACTCACCCTGATAACTTCTGGACAAGCATAGTGTGGGGAACCACAACTAGTCTCCAGCATGGAACCTTCGGGCTGGAGAGAGGCCATGCCAAAGTCAGCAATCCTGATGCTGTTCTTTTCATCTAACAGAAGGTTCTCTGGCTTGAGGTCTCGATGGCTGGGGGCAGAAAAGTCATGTTAGGGGTAGTATATTAATCAATAAAAGTAAACAGGCATTTTTAATGTAACAGTAAAATTTGATAAACCTGGAGACAGAAGTATAATTAGAATATTTCCGAAAGGTTACATTCAAGTAAGAAATCATTAATGTACTTTAAAACCAACCTGTCTTATCAGACTATCATCATTTTCAGGTGTGGACAGGTACATTCAAGAAGCCTGCAAGGCCTGAGAGCAAGAGGTGATCATAGTTTCTCAACATTTATTGACCACACATGGGTCATTATGGATACAATGCACCTCAACTTTATCATCACAAGCATTTCAATATAAAAATTCTCAATGTATATAGATTGACACACACGTCTTAAATTATACCACTTGCTGATCACTGTTTCAGTGCTAATTGATGTATTCAGAGCATTTGTATTCTAAGTAGTCACTCTTGCCTGTGTAGTAATGACAATATGTTAGGTGAGGCTTGAGACACAAGTATGGAACTATCAAGTATAAATCTTTATGTGCAACATCATCATGCATCATTTTTATGTTTTTTTTTTTTTTTAATATGAACCATAGGTACATTGAAAAGGCAGCTGAGAGCCTATTCCATTTTTGCGCTTAACTGGGGCTGGGCTAAGCAGTCCAGTTTCGAACCACAAGTGATATGTGTTCAAATTTAAATGCTGCCTAATTCCCCCCCCCCTGCTCCTCATTGTCAATGTGGCTACTGTTTTAATTACCTTGTTTGTGGTTAGATACAGTACACCCATGTATAAGATACATTTAAACAAAACATTTTCATGATAAAAGAGTTGAGAAATTCTGGCATACATGTATACAAGACACCACAAAACTTTCATAGGACACAAAGTCAAATAAAACATAAACAGACATCTACATCTCAGTGCTCATATATAACCACCTCCAAAAACTTCTTTATCAACAAGCAACAGAACAAGGAATTTAAGGAAGAATAAAATCCTTCCTTGTCACTATTATGAGAAAATTGTATAATGAAACAAATAATTGGCATCAGCCAATAAAAGAGCCCACACCTGCCTACTTCTCAAATGAGCTACATAATCATGTTCAAACACTATCTACAAAGCAAAACAAAGAATTTATGATGGGGTAACATTCTTCCTTGCTACCTTTTTCATATTTTATACTTATAACATTGTGTATTAATTCATAATACAGGCTGACCATCACTAATCTGGCACCACCAGGACCTGTAGGGTGCCAGATTACAGAGTGGTTAGGTTAGAATACACTTAACCCAACGGTGATATTTAGGCATGAGCGATTTCACCCACTTTATGCAATATTTTTGGCCCATTCCATTGTTTCAGTCTACCAAACTTATAGCAATTTCACTAGTATTCCTTCTATTCTGTCAATTGAATACAAGAAACCGCCTATTTACCTATTTCAACTACCCAATAGTGGTCAAAAATTGGTAATTTGGCCAATTTCACACAAATTTCAAAATAGGGTCCAGAATAAACACTGCAGACATTTCTGGCACTAAAATAACATTGTCTCAGTTCATTGGTCACACCTCTAGGCCCATCTTATATTACACTTGCTTTCCATTTTTTATTTTTATTCACACAAAAAACAGACTACTACATTACTGTAAAAATTATATAAATAATGTTAAACCATTCGTGACTGCATATTAGACTGGACAGTTGGACACACATTGTTTACTCTTGAACATTGGCAAAAATCAAACATTTCAGCTACTTTGAGCTCAATTTCAAGGTCTTTTCCTTCGTGAAACCAATCAAAATTATATCTATTTCTCTAATGTATCATCCCTTTTATCAAATGAGACAACCATAAAAACCATACGAAAATACACCACAAAGTCAGTTTTACACCATAAACTCAGTCGCCATTTTTTTTCTTATTATGCACTGTGTGCTACAGGATTTTTTACACTTACCACACAGGCCTATTTTCGCATATGTACGCCCAAATTTACCAATCACAGCTTATCTGAGTAAGCTGAGCTCATGGTGACCGACAGTAGCTTCAAAGCCACCTTATCTTTTATGGACAATGTATGGGGCAATATACGTACAATAAGAAGCATTTCTTTTATTTGTTGGAACCATGGCTAGGGCTAAAAGTGAGCAAGTTATAATAATAAATGGAAAACAAGAAATTGGAATGACTTATGCAGCTAGTAGCATCACCGAACAGTAGCGGCAGGTTGGTGAGGCGACCCCGGAAATTTAAAATTATGTTAGCCGAAATTAGTGCCGGATTACTGATGGCCAACCTGTAGTCACTGGTGACACATCAGCTTTCTCTATTTTATTTGGATGGAGTGTATACCCATTTTCTTTGGAAGGAATAAACGATATACTGTGTCAATCATTAGCATCAAATACTATTTTACCGGAGGCCCTATTGAATGAATTTATTTAGTAACTAAATTTTATTTAGGATTTCGATACATAACGTGTATTTATAGATCAACAAGCAATGTCATCTACAATGTACAGCATCAAAAACTTTTTTTTTTGACAAAATAAAATATTTAAAAAGATTTATTTGTTTGGCATTTCTGGGGTTCTAGGAACATAGCTCTCTTTTTCCCGTAAGTTCTTAAATTTACTTAGCATGCTTTTTGTGTTAGACACCATTTTCATGAATGTAACTGCCACTTTCATTGGGGGGGGGGGGGGTCTCATACATACCTAACCCAACCAAAGTTAACTAAATCTAATTTCAGGATCAAATCAAATCAAATCAAATCAAAGTTTATTCTCTATAAGGATTACAATGCGGGGTTTACAGATTTTGGTTATTGTGTGGTTTACATGTAATAAAATACTAATTATAGAGGGGGCCACTAGAACACCTAGCATGGCTAGGCATTTCAGGCAAACTTAGATTAATTCTTAACCCTAAATTATTACAAATTGTGGAGTAAGTTGACTAAATACTAAGTGACTAAATACTAGTTTGTGAGTTTAGCAATGTGAATGCTTTTGTTTTGGCACAATACATAGTTTCTACATTGGAGTATCACAGGCAAACTTGTGACTAGTTAGGAATCATTATTTTAAGATTAAGATATGTATTTCTGTGCTTATAGTCAAATGGGTGAGTGTAAGTGTGAACCACCAGGTGGTTTTTATGTAGTTAGTTGACAGGATGTATCAGGGAGATAAGATGTTTTCTAACTGTAGTTTTGAAGGTGATGAGTGTGTCTGCAGTTCTAGAGTTTTCAGGTAGGGTGTTCCAGATTTTAGGGCCTTTGACATACATTGAATTTTTGTATAGATTTAGTCGGACACGGGGAATGTCGTAGAGATGTTTGTGTCTGGTGTTATGCTTGTGGGTCCTGTCACAACTATCAAGAAAGCATTTTAGGTCAAGGCTAATATTGGAATTTAAGGTCCTGTATATGTAGATTGCACAGTAGTAAGTGTGGATGTTCTGAACAGGGAGTAAGTTTAGATCTATGAAGGATGGGTTGACCCAGCTGATGTCCACCTGGGCAATAATTCTTCTGTTGATATGTACTACATCATGTGATAAGATGCATGCAGCAGGCATTATAATGAAAGTTGTTCACTCTCATAGTTGAATTTCATTAAGCTTTGCCTCTTGAGCTACTCTCTCCTTCCTCGGATTAAACAATATTACCTCCCATTTCCCAGGTACTGTTGACCCCTATGGGTATAGTGCTTCATCATGAATATAATAATGATAATAGAGCTTTTGAGCAGTGATTTAGGGTTAAGAGTACAGTAATTTTACAGAGTGTAATATGCAGTCTACCAGAATTAATTAGAAAAGTAAACATGAGAAACACAGGGGAGAGGCAACACTATGATCACCAAGACCTAAACATGAGAAACACAAGAGAGAGGTAACACCACAATCACCAAGAACTTAATATGATAAACACAAGGGAGAGGCAACACCATGAACACGATGACAGCGAGTGTTCAAGTTTTGAGACATCAAGGCAGCAATACAGACAACATGATGGCAAAAGTTGTAAGAAGGAGATAAATCCACTGCAAGAGGAAGCATATAATTAAAAATTTAAGGCTAATGAAATCTTAAAAAATCAATCAAAACTTTAAGGCAAATGAAATCTTAACACAGTCAATTAAGACATGTCATAATTAACCAGAAGTCAAGAAAAAACACACTGGAGAATTTAGAATAAAAATTAAAAGTGAATCATGTAAAAAACAAGTATGGATATGTGGCAGACTATTAGTGCAAACATCAAAAATCTGGCAAATCAAATAAATAAGTGATCACTACAGCAAAACATAAATACACAGATAAAGGTTATTGCAAATAACCAATAATGACTGTAGGCAGTCTGTCTCTATACATTTATGTATATGTAGACAGGTTATCTTTATATTGTATATACCATACATTAACCTTTCAAGGAAACACCAGTGATTGTAGGAAGGTTATTGTTATACTGTATATCTTGACACTGTACAGCCCCACTCCACAAAGGGGGCAGTAAAGCAACAGCAAAGAACTACAGACCGATAGCCCTAACATCCCATATCATAAAAAATCCTTGAAAGGGTTCTAAGAAGCAAGATCGCCACTCATCTAAATGCCCATCAGTTACACAACTTAGGGCAACATGGGCTTAGAGCAAGTCGCTCCTGCCTGTCCCAACTACTAGACCACTATGAAAAGGCCCTGGATGCTCTTGAAGACAAACAAAATGCAGATGTAGTATACACAGACTTTGCAAAAGCCTTACACAAGTGTGACCATGGTGTAATAGCGCACAAAATGCGTGATAAAGGAATAATAGGAAAAGTTGGTAGACGGATCTATAATTTCCTAACAAACAGAACACACAGAGTAGTAGTAAACAGAGTAAAGTCTGAGGTGGCTACTGTGAAGAGATCTGTTCCTCAAGGCACAGTACTTGCCCTCATCCTGTTCCTCATCCTCATATGTGACATAGACAGGGATGTAAGCCACAGC